GCCCCCGCCCCCCGCAGCCGCTGGCCCGCCGAGAAACTCTTAAAGAGGGGCTTCGGCACAGCCCGCCCCGGCTCACGGGCCGCTTCTTACACACGCACGCACGCACGCAGACCCCTGGCAGCTCCGGCAACAGAGACATCTGCTCTCCATTGCGACCACCCCCCTCCAGCAAACACCCTTCCCCTTACTGCTCCTCCTCCCTTCCCGCTCCGGCTCGCAGCTCGGCTCGCACCCGCCGCTTCCTTTCTTCCAACGATGTTTTCCTGCTCCACGGGGCGAAGTGTTTGATGAACTTTCCTAACAGTTTGGGGGGCGGGCGGGAGGATCCTGAGGCTTTTTTCCTTCTCCCCCCGCCCCGCCCGGAGCAGGTTGGGGGGCACCGAGCAGAGGAGGGATCCGCGCCCCGGGCGCAGGTCGCACACACACGCGTCCTTTGGCGGAGAGGAAACCCTTGCACCACGGCTCCGCCAACTTCGCCGGCTGCAGGGGCTCCCGCTGTGGAAATGGGTCGGATCAGATGGGGCTTTCTCCTCCTCGCTGCCTGTGCACTTTTGTCGCCAGGGCTCGCAGCCTCCGAAAAGGGGAGGCTAAGGAGGATCACGTACGTCCTGCAGCCCGGCCGGGGGGCCTCCTCTGGCAGCCGGCAGCAGCGCCCGACCCTCCTCGGGGGGGAGCAGCAGCAGCGCACCTTCAATGTGCAGCTGAACACGCGCTACGGCGGCGGCCCCCTGGAGCGGACCCGGCGGATGAGCAAGCCGGGCAGCGCCGCCGTCCAGCTCCGCTTGGGCCCCGCCGGCCAGGTCCACCCCAACTCCGCCGCTCACGCCTCCTCCTTCGCCAAGCCGGCCCGCTTCGGCCCGCGGCTCAAGGCGCCGCCGGGCCCCCACGGCAACAGCAGCGCCGCCCTGCCCCTCCGCCAGAAGCAGCAGCAGCTGCCGCCGCTGCCGGGGTAAGGCGTCCTCCCGTCCCGCACGTCCCCGCCCCGCCACCGCAGCTCCCGACCACCGCCAGCGGCTCCGTCGCGGCCGCCGTCGCCCCCTCGGGAGGGGGTAGAGGGCGGGGGGCTGTCCCGGGCTGCGGGGGCACCGCGGCGTTGCTTGCCCGGCCCCGGTGCCCGCCGAACACCCGCGGCACACGAGGCCGGACGCGGGGCCAGCTCCCCCCCATCCCGGGAGTCCGCGGCCGGCCCCGCGCCCGGCTGGAGGCGTCGAGTTTAATCGGGAGGTTTAATTCTTCCCGCCTTTTGTCTCCCCGGCCCAGCGCCCGCCCCGCGGCCCGGCTCGGGATGGGGAGCGGGGGTGCCCGCCGGACACTGGTCCTTGTTTGCTGTTCCCGCAGGGTCAATGTGTGCGGGGGACAGTGCTGCCACGGCTGGAGCAAGGCCACGGGCTCCCAGCGGTGCATCAAACGTGAGTAGCCGTGCGGTCGGGGAGGGGCGTGTGGTAGGAGCTGTGGTGGGACCCGAGGGGATCACGCTGGCACCCGCCGAGGTTGTGGACGCTGGGATCGTCTGCGGGCGAAGAGGTGCTGGCTGAGCTGCTGAACCCACAGAACAGATGTAGCACATTTTCCATCTTTAAATCTCTCCTTCCTAACCTTCACTTTTGCTAAGGGATGAATAGTGGGTGTCTCTTGCATTTATTCCTAGTACAAGTAGCGACATTTTTGGAGAGAGCTTTGTGGAGGCTTTGTATGCGTGAACATCCCCTCCCCATCAGTTCTTGGTTTGTAGGAGTTCTTAGAATGGAGGGCATAACAGGGTAAAGAATCTACCGGGGAGCAAGGAATCACCATCTACCCACACTGTCCCTTCACCAGCAGCCCACATGAATGATACTGTGCTTACCACATGGAATTTTTGAAGCACTGAACAAAGTGAAAGAAATGGGTTTGGGGAAAGTCCTGTAGGGTGATGTACCTTTACTGCGGTAACTAGGAACATAAGATACGTGCATAAAAGATTCAGTCAAGCCTGCTGTGCTCCAGTTGTTCTTTCTAATGGGAAGGTGGAAGAATTTCTGCTACTTTAGGCAAGATTCAAATGGCTAAACTGGAGTGATGTTATGAGGTCAGGACAGACTGGAATGACATACGTCTTCAGGAAACTCCTGTAAGTATCAGTGAAATTGGGTAGATCTGGGAATATTGCTGTAGTTCAGCAGGACAGACTACAGTCCCTGAGAGAATTGGAGTAAACAATGCTTTCAAGATTTTTGTTTTTCCAGTGGCTTTTGTCCCTGTGTGGGATTTTTCACAACAGGGAGCAATCACTTTTGTAATCCTGACTAAGGTCAAGTACCCTTGATCTGCATGGACCTGTTGCTAAGAAGCCAAGACTTTATGACAGTAGTTAAAGACAAAACTTCACCATTTCCCTACTAATTTAGGTGTGTATTTAAGATATTCTTCTAAGTTAACATTTTTAAACGTGTGCTGCTGTGTTAGGTTAGACACATTTTATTCAACACCTTATAAGCCCTAGAATGTTTTCCTTCAGTTTACCGTGGTATTTTGAGGCTAACTGCAGAGCTTAATAAATACCTACCTTAGCTTAAAGACTAATCAAAATGAAAAAAATTCTCAGTAATGTCAGGACATTAAGTGAAAAAAGTATTTTAACTGTGCTATTGTCAACCAACTTTATTTTTGCGATTTTGAACAAAACCCAAACATTGTTTGGGTTTGTTTGGTTTTTTTTAATGGCTTTTTCTCTGTCTTCTAGTAACTTTCATTTCCAGGCAACTTTTTTGTTTGTAAGTTAAGTAATTTTCTTAGCTTTTTGCCGTTTATGTTTTGTCTTTTTCACTTCTCTGATTATCATTCATCTTTTATTTTTGGTTCTCTTTTATTTTTAGAATCTTCAATAAGGACTAAGACAACTTGATTTTTAAGGACTAAGACAGCTTGATTTTTATGGGACAGCTTTGTAGAATTTAATTTAAATCCATTAATTACTTAGTTAGCTCATACAGTTACTGGAGGAACGGAGTAGTAGAAACAGTATTAAAAAAAAGAAAGGTGGGGGGATTTTCTCATTTTGTGCCTCTGATATTAGGTTCTCCTTAGCATTAAATATTTTTATTCCCTGCTCTGATGCTACTCTAATTCCTCCTAGCAGTGGTATCTTGCACTTGGCTTGGATTTTCTCAGTTTCACCCCTCTCTTGGCAGGCCAAGGGAAGCACTGAATGTACTGAAGTTGTCTGTTTTGTAACTTAGGCAAACCATGAGATACAGCATTGACTTGATTCAGCTATGGAAGATTAGTCTCACAGTCATAAAAGCCAGATACCACCTTTTCTGGAAGCGCCTGATGCTCCTTTCAGAAGAAAAGAAAATCTATAGCTGAACAACAGTTAACCCTTTTGTTTCCTGTAAAATTGAGTGAGTTTTTACAATTGAGATAGCTGGCTCTGTTGGTTTTGAGTGGCTTATTGCAGCAGTAGATTAACTTTGCCATAGATGCTGGCACACCTGAGCTGATTTGATGCAAAATCAGTTGGATTCTGTCAGGGTTTATTAGTTTAGGCTCAGTATCACTTTAATAAGCTATTTAGTCTCTAGGGCCAGATTTTATTCTTTTGCATGGTGCAAAGCCTGAGTTAATAAACCCCAGACCCATACTGGCTCTTTCCAGAGCCAACTTCCATTTATCTGTGTCGTGCTTCCAGAACCAGAGTGCTGAGAGCCAGCTCTGATCAGCGAGGTTTATTAGCTCAGGTGTAATCCCAGGCTGGAACAAGCAGCATGTGTTTCTGCTCTGCTGCACCTGTGTGAATAAGGCTGCCTGGAACCCTCAGAAAGAGAGGGGGTGAAGGGCAGAAGTCTGGTCTTGCAGCCAGGCTGCCATCCCTTCCCTTTGCTTTGCTTGGTGGTGTTCGCTAGCCCTGCTTTCTCACGCGTGAGGCTGTGGCTGCCATTCCCTTGGGTGACTTCTCTCCACATCGCTGTTCCCTCAGTGGCAGCAACAGGGGGCGTTTGAAATGTTTCTGTGCGGGTCAGAGGGCACCATCTGTATGGAGGAGGCAAGGGAACTTTGCCTCCTTTTATCTGAATTTTAGTCTGATGGTGAGCTGCCTTTTGTGTTGGCATTTGTTCATGTTCTCTTGGAAGCCTGGCAGTCCTCAGAAGGTGAGCTTCTGTCTGTAAACTGTATGAGTAGAGTGCCTACCACTTCCAATTTAGACATGTAGGGTTTTACCCCCTCTGTTCCTAATATTTCAGTTTTACATTGTAAAGTTTTAAGAACTTTTTTCAAACTCAGTGACTTAAATTATGAAGAGCTGCATCATTCTAATTAAAAAGATGAAATGATAACACTCAGTGTTAAAAGTGTTCAGAATTGCTTTATGCTGGGCATATGATCCCTAACAATCAAAACCAACCTTTTTGAAGCTTTCAGAACATCCACCTTTGGGTAAAGACAAAGGTGGGAAAAATTGAACCACAACAGTAAACACTTTGCAGAGTTAGAAGCACGTGAAAGGGTTTAGGACAAGGATTGTCTTCCAGTCATAGTTATCATAGGTTATAATCTGTGCAAGTGCAGTAATGAGATACCACTAAGACTGGAGACACCATGTTTTGTTAGTACTTGCTGTATAACAGAGCTTTATAGAAACATTAATTAGCTCTGTAACATGTCTTTAAGGCAAGTAAAGCTTAGGGATTTTATTATTTCATTTATGGAAATTAAACCATAGCTTAAATATGGACAAGTTATAACAACTGTCAGGAAGGCCTGTGCTGGAAATCAGGAGTTCCCACCACCCAACTGTGTGTTTATCCTGTTGAAATCCGTTGTCTCCTACTTTGTTACCTACTACTACTAAATTTCTGCAAAATTACTACTACTTCTGTAAACTACTTCTACAAAATATGCTCTTCTGTTTGTAATGGTGTTGCTTAATGGTACAAGGAGCTGTTTTTCACGTTGGGAATGTAAGAGAAAATTGTATGTAGAATCTGATATCTTAAAAAGAGAAATGAGAAGAGACACCTTGTTATAGTAGTAAACCCCTTGTAAAATGTATAATGTGTTTTGTCTGGAGTATTAATAGTAGTTGTTTGTGAGTGTTCTCAGTGTAAACTGGATGGTTAAAAAAATGGGAAGCAGAGAGCTAAGAGTTCTTAATGGCACGAGTTCCTTATTGCAAAGGTGTAAAAAAGGCTCACAGGGCAAAGAAGTGAGGAAAGTAGATGTTGCAGGAGAACAGAGTAAATTTCCTACAGGGAGAAAAATTGCTGTCTATGTAGAACCCATAAGCCAGGTATGTCATCGTTGTCAATTAAGATTAAAAGGGTCTTAAGTCTTTCTTAGCTGAAGGTGTTGTGTGTGTGTACGCATGTATTCCATGCATAGGGCTAGTACTTTGGTGTTGGAACTGGACTGAATTCTGAGTTTGATCATGAGCTGTCTGTCACGTGCTTGGGCACTTTGGGAAGGTCATCAGAAAATAAGAAAGCAGTCTGCTGGCTTTTTCTTTGTATTAAAAAGATTATCTTGCTAATTCTCCTTTAAAAAAGATTGCCTGACTCAATGTTAAATAAGGACGTTACAGAGGTTTAATTTATTTTTCAGATTAAGAAAATACACAGCAGTGGATAATTGCTGCTGTAGAGACAGGAGACTAGAAAGTTGTGAGATTACTTGCCCTGAGGAAGGGTCCCCTTTATTCAGTTTCTGAATCTGCTTGGTCTCTGCTTGTGTACTGCTGTTCAATTTCAGCCACCTCCTCCCTAAATTTCCAGAGCTGTACTTGTCGCTGTGGCTGAGTGAGCAGTGCTATAGCTGTGTGTCTCCTTTAGGACATGGGCACTTGACAGAGTGACCAGTGGTTCCAGATCACCTGGATGGAGTGTACCCTATGTTGCTTCTGCCTTGTACTTCTGAATTTCTTGGGGAAGGTGAGGGAAAGGTTGCATACTTGGTCTTGTTATATATAGGGGAATAT